TGTGGCCACAGTCTTCAACTGTGACCTGTCTGATAGTAATTTTGGCCTCAAGGAAGCCATGCTCCATTTTAACTTAGAATTATCAAAAACTCCACACCCTGGTAGGGGAAACCCTATCTCCCCCACTTGGTGGCGCCGCTGAATTCAGACTGAGTGTACTTTTACTTTTTTTCAATCTGAACATATTTTTTTTTATCCATTTAATCCTGACTCAGAATGGCCTTTGTTTAGTACAAAAAAAATGCATGTTCACATGAGGTAAAACATTACAATTTTAGTAATATGCATATGCAAACATCACCTTGGCAGCTAGAAAATTTGTGGTCAACATAAATTTTACTTTCGAGATATTAGAAAACTTCATCTATGCCACATTTCATGACATATCACTGTGTGTTTACTCATTTGTGATCACAGCGGTATTTTTGGCTTAGTGTAACATGAATTATAAAACATTCAATTCAAGAAAAATACAGCTTACATGTATGTCTTTTCAAACTTGTAAAAAAAAATATATTGAACTTTGATTTTGTTGTTTCAGCTCTTGGAGGCACATGCCAGGGAGCTGGAAGAATTAGAAGACAGACTTGACAGTGAGCGTGCTCGTCAGCAGCTAGCTCTGCGTGATAAATTACTAGAACGCAAGAAACGAATGTTAGCAGATCAGAAACGCAAACAGGAAGTCGAAATGGCACAGGAGCTGCTGGCTCAGAAGAAAGAATTGGCCGACGTCAGAAGTAAACTGGTGAAAGACGCTGAACATAAAGCAATAACTGAGGGAATACAAGAACAGGGAACTGAAAATACCGAGACTGTTGTCAAAGCTGTAAGTTTATTCTCATTTAGACATCCATGGCTTGGGCCATTCCAGTGTATTTATGTATCCCTAGTGTAGACATTTCTGAACTTCTGACACTGTAGATAGAGATTCAGAATTGAAATAAACATTCACATCTTATATGGAAAGCATAGAGTGAAAACTCATTACCTATTTAGGTGGGGATGGGGTGGAGCATTTGCTTTAATGTGTGTTGTTATCATCGCTTAGGACTCAATTCCCAGATGCAGGTGATGACCTTTTCACTTTAAGTTGTATTATCAGCAAAAGCTGAAAGCCCTTTCAATTTGGAGTAACTATGCCAACAGTTAAATCTGAAAGTTATGTTATTTAGAGTGATACTAATCAAAACCTGACATATTGTGTGGTTTTTGAACTCGACTAACCTAAGAAGTACATGATGTTGGAGGTTTGCCAAGAAACAGTGGTAATAGGAGTAAAATAGTCATCTTAAAAATTCAAAAGGGCAAGACAAACTCAAAAGTGTGGTGTGCATATCCAAGTAATCTAATGCTTCACATCAAATTTTGTAAAATATTTCAATCATCAAACAGAGAATCCTACTTCACACGCCAAAGACTTGAGACAAAATTTTACTGACAGAACAACTTTAATGTTGAAATGTAGGGAAAATTAAAAGATATGTCAATAAGTTTTTAGTAAATTGTCAGTGGGATAAAGCTGAACAAATTAATTTAAAACAAATATGGGGAAAAACGTTTATAAGACCATATCAGTATTCAATATGTGCAATTATAATAACGTATACTGCCCATTATTGCAATGCCATGTTACTCATTGGTAGATCATTACCATGTGTATCCGTGTTTTCAGACGATAACTGGCCAGTGATCAATGTCAATGCACAAACATACAAACTAGTACATATCATTTAAACAAAACCGTTCATGATTCCTTCATGTTAAGAATTTCTGATTATTTTCATCTAGAAAGTTACCTATCAGCGTGTTTTCACCTTGTGAACATGCTATGCACAACTGAAATACAAGAATCTGTTTCAATTAACTGTTGGTTTCTCTATTTCCTGTGCTTCTGAATACTGCCCTCAATAGGCAATGATAATGTAACTTTTGTTTAAATGTTCTTTAGGTTCTTGATAAAAGACATGCCCAAGAGATGTCTGACCTTGATGCACAGTTTGCTGCAGAGCGACAGGTTGCAGTGGAAGCAAAACTAGCCAAACTACATGATAAATACGACGCAGAACGTGACAAGATGCTACACCGCCATGATGAAGAGATGAATAAACTACTGCAGCAAAACTTAACACCAGAACAGATGCAGCAGAAGAAAGCAGAGCTGTTGAATAAACAGCAAATAGAGCTGGCAGAGTTGGAGAAGAGATTGGCGGAGGAAAGAAGACATCAAGAACAAGAAGCTTTACAAGACTGGGAACTAAGATATGCAAGAGCAAAATTGGATTTGAAAGAAAAACACTATCAGGTACAATAAAAATGGAATTCTGTTCAGATTAATCCAAATTCTTATTTGTTCTGTGCTCAATGAAAACAATGAAAAGCCCTTGGGAATATGAGAATCAAATGTGTTTGGTCTTTGTGAGTGAGCCCATGTAAGCACAGGCATGGTTTTCAAAATAGAACTGTTTTCAAAATAGAACTGTTTTCAAAATAGAACTGTTTTCAAAATAGAACTGTTTTCAAAATAGATCTGTTTTCAAAATAGAACTGTTTTCAAGAATAGCATATGAATAGTTCATATGATTGCAATTCACAGGGATTTTGATTATGTCATTCATTAAAATTATGTCTTTTTTGGTAAAAGGTGATATTTTCAACTTCTTGTTAAAAAACGCAAGTCCAATTGCTTTGATATTACATATATAGGTACTACATGTGAACCTCTCTCAGATTTGTTCATTTTGTAATGATATCTTTAGTTCTCTAATTTTGGTGAATATTTTTGTCATTTTTGGTAAAAAGTGATAGTCTGATTGCTTTGATATTACATGTGTATAAATATAGATTCATGTACCTTAGATAAAGCTCTCAGATTCATTCATTTCATGATGTTACCTTGAATTATCTAATTTTGATGATTGTTTTTGTCATTTTTGGTAAAAAGTGATATTTTCGGCTTCTTGTTGAAAACCGCAAGTCTGATTGTTTTGATACTATACATATTGTTCATTTTCTAATGATATCTTCTGTTCTTTAATTGAAATGTGTATTGCTAACAGCGGAGCTATTTCAGCCGACAGGCTGCTTGTTTATAATAGTTAGGTGTGAATTATTTAGTGTATTTTTTTTTATAGGAATATGCAGAAGCTTTGAGGAAGTTCCTTTCTGACAAGAGTAACGTAAGTGCTGAAGAAGCCATGAAAGCAGCACAACAACTTGAAGACGTCAAACGTAGATTGGAAAGGGAGAGAAAAGAAAATGAAGATAGACTAAAGAGAGAATCAGAAGGTATGGCCTATAGAGGGCACCTTTTTGTGAAAAGTTTGAAAGGCTGTAAACCAATTGAATTGAATTGAATTGAATTGAATTGAATGCCTCACTGAAATTAAAAATATGTGAATCACAAAAAATACTTTTCAGTTAAAATTTAGGGCATATTTTTAGCGATTTGTATTCTTGTTTTGTACTGGAACATTCGTCAGTGTTCACATTTTTCCATTGAGACAATGAACCATTTCCTCTACCTGGTTTTAACACCAGGTAACAATCCTGTTTTGTGTGTATAACAACTTTACCAACAAGAAGATGCAACCTTTCAGGTGATTGTGTAGGACCAGGTCTAGTTGATGTTCGGATAACACATCAAATTACCATTATAATAGAAATATTGCATAGCGATGTGATGTAAGTCCAAAGATATAGTAGTAGAAAGCATGTACTGTTTTCACTTGCATTCGCACATAGGTAATGACAGGAGAGACATCTTCAAAATTTTTACCTGGTACCAAAATATTTTGATAAAAATCTTTTGCTTCCCTGCCTTTCTGTTATGAATTACTTGAACAATATAATTCAATGATGGAGATGTAATGAAAATTAAATTGTAAATTACACATACTTTAATGATTCACAGAGTTTGAAAGAAGAGAAAAACGTAAATTTGATGAGAGCATCTCTGCTTATGAGAAACAGTTGGATGCTGAGTCCAGGAAAGAGAAGGAAAGAACAGAGAGGTCTGTTGCTGCACTCAACAAACGTAAAGAAGAATTACTGCAAGAAAAACAACAGAAGATGAAGGTAATTATACCAGCTTCAGTTTGAAGCACTTTTTTGCTACTCAGCATGTTACTGAACATACTGTTTTTACTCCAATCAGGTTGGAGTACAACCACTAATAATATCATTTGATCAATTATTCTTGAAAATATTTTAAATGTTGATGCTTATTAATTTAAATATAACTTGTATTATTCAGGAGCAATTAGAGAATTTGAAAGGACAGGGTGCCACTCAAGAGGAACAAGACAGAATAATGGAGGAACATCAGAAAGATATTGCTAAGTTGACGAACAAAATGGATGCCGATAGACTGCGTATGCAGAGTGGTCTGCAGGTAACAAATTGATTATAATATACAGTATTTGCTCTATTTGAAACGCATCTATAATAGAAGTGTACATACAAAAAAAATTGCCGGATTATCAAAATTCTGACGACAGACACATGTATTACTAATAGAACAAACACCTCATTGCTATATCAGCATTATTGAACATGTATTTGAAAATACAAGTGATGTTAAAACACATTTGTTCACTATAAGTTACTAAGAAATGAATCTATAGCAACATTTAAGTTTATAGGAATCTGGGGTGTTGGAGAACATAACTGTACAGTTATAAATAAAACCAGTAGGTAATTATTAAATCCAGAAAAATATTGCAAGATATTTCATGATTATTTTAATTATATTGTTATTTATTTTTCAATTTAGGAGCGTTTACGCAAGAAGCGAGAAGAGAAAATAAAATCTCAGCAATCCAAGTCTAAAGAAGAGATGTCTGAAAACATGAAAGAACACAAAGAGAAAAGACACATGGAAGAAAGCAGAATAAAAACAAATGAGGTACAAACCTTATTTCCATTTCTAGAAAATTACCCTACTATATGTACACACAGAGGTTGTTACAATTGTCATACTTGCTATACATACTTAGTCTCACACGGTTGTAATCCAAAATGGAACATCATTAGTCCTCAGTGGACATAGTTTAAAACTAGACATTATTTAGTTCTTGATGGTCATAATCCCAAACAGGACTTCATTTAGTTCCCGATTGACGTACATACAATGTAGTCCTGAGCTGACTGCCCTAAACATAAACATAAAGTGTCTACTAGATTGTCCAATACTAATATTAGAGATATTTAGATGCATTATTCTGCATGTATAA